AACAGACCCAGCTTTGGGAGGGCTGGAGCTAAGTGTTGTTCCAGTGCCCTAAGGAATAGTTTCCATTGGCTGGTACTGAAGTCCACTGACGTTTCTCATCATTCAGAGTGACTTCTGGCTTCAATTAGGCAAGGGAACAATAAATGAAATCTAAAATTAAATTATGTGGAAGTTTTCAAAAGAAAAAAGAATAGTTATAGTCCAATTTTAAGTTTGATTCTGTTTATAAACAGTCCTTGCAATGCCCATAACTTCTTGCCTCTTGCCCACTGCTCAAAGAAGCAGAATCTGGTTTTGAGGAGGAAGGTATGGACCTGGTCAGCTTCTGTCTGGGGTAAAAGCCTTTGGTGTACCTAGGCCATCAGATCCCAGCATCACTGAAGCTATGCCACAAAACAGCATTGGGGCAGGAGAAGAGAGAAGAAAAGGGAATTAATATTTGTTGAGCATCTACCATTGACCAGTACAGTCCTAAGTTTTTCTTTTTTTCTTCAACCTTTCAAAGTGACAAGGAAGGATTATTATTCCTACTTTGCTGGTGAGGGTAAAACTCAGGCTTACTGGGGTTAATAACTTGCTTAAGTCCTGTAATAATAAGTCAGAGCCAGGATTTGGATCCATGGTCGACCTGACTCTAAGTCCATGTTCCATCACATAGGAAAGTCATGCTTCTCTAAGTTACCCAGGTGATTTGTTTCATGTGAACCCAAGAGTTTACCTCAACTCACCTGGAGCTGTGTTAATAGACCAGAGAAGCGTGCTCCATCCTAAGATCAGGTATATGCTCAAGTGTGCTTTGCTTCCACTGTCTTCACATTTTCACTGTATCTGCAAGCAAAAACATCAGTATTTATTATGTTATATGCATACCATGAGCATCCTGATTCAATTTAGCATTTTAATGGAGCCTGAAAAGATTAAATCCCCAACTCAGCACATCGAAAACTTGATATTGCTTTGCTGAATGGCAGGCATGAGCGGGGAGGGGAGAGGATGCCACTGTGAAAATCCACCTGTGTCAGCCTGTGTGGAATAGAGATGTCTGGTGACAGAGAGCCATGTGTGCTTTGGGGCCTGACAGAGTCCACATCAGCCTCATTAAACATATATTTGACTAATTCTCCATTTCACTTTTTGTGGGTAAAGAACCAAAGTACAAAAACAAACACACTAAAACCAACCCCACTTTGTGGAGTAGTGGGTGAGGAAAGTAAGAAAAGCCCAACCAGAATCAGAATATTCTACACTGAAGGGCTGGGTTCTCCACAACCTCTTCACTTCCGCTTTTCTTTTCTAATTTCACAGTGTTCTTTAAACTAGGGAGCTTGAGGGCCGTTGAATTAAGAAGGGGTCTCCGGATCTTCTAATGCAACAATTTAATTTTGCAGAGCATAAAACTGGGGACCCAGAGAGGTTAAGAAATTTGCAGTAGGCAATGCAGGAATATAGTTGCACTGAAACCATCTCAATATTGACACTTCCCTGCTTTGTTAAAGCTGTCCCTGCAGAGTTTGCAAAGAAATATTTACCACTGCTTGTGCACCCCCAGGTAGATTCCCAAGAAGACTAACAAGCTCTAATTTTACCATGACTTCTTAGTCAAGACAATTGAAGCAGCAAACCATAGTGCCTACAAGTCAGACAACCTGGTCTCAGACATTAATTCTGTCCCTTATATGACCTATCTTCTTGGGCAGTCATTTAACCTGAATTTTAGTTTCCTGATCTGTAAGAAAATGAAGGTGCACACAGAATTGTCATGAGAACTAAATGAGATAATACTTAAGAAAACACTTACTAATATCAATAATAAAATTGGTTGTTCTTTAGATGATGGGATTGGAAATCAACCTGTTGAATTTGCATAAAACTCCTAATCTTACTTCAGCAAATACCTGTAAAATGAGAGGCTAAAAAGGGAAAATCTTTGTCATTAAATATATAGACATATTGTTTAGGAAATCATTGTTAAACCAAATACGTTGGGAGAATTAAGGTTACCCAGAGATAATGATATTGTACTATGCTTTTCTACTCTATTCATAATGTTTGCTAAAAGAATACATTTTAGGTTCTCCTATCATCAAAGCGGTGGCAGGGGATAGCCATGTGACATGGATATTAATTTGCTTGACTCTTAATGTTTTTCACATCTGTGTTTATTTCAAAACATCATGCTAAAGCACCTTAAATATACAAAATAAAATTTTAAATTAGTTTTTAGAAAGTATTTATGTATTCCAGATATTAATCTCTTGTTAAATATATTACAAATATTTCATTCTGACAGCTTAAACCATTACTCTTTTTACTACGTATTACTACTTATGAATAGAAATTTAAAATTTTTATGTAGTTGAAATATTCAATATTGTGTTCTGTCCCAGATTCTAATTTTGAACGGTTTACCTTGCAACACGGTGATGCTACAATGAAATAATGCATTTAAAGCACTTACCACTAAATTGTTAAGTTAGGAACTCATCACAAGAGTTCAGTTAACTATCTAATGTTATTATATTGTATCCTTTATTATGCAAAGGGATGTTGGATGAAAGAAAAGAAGGTTTACATCTATGAAAAAATAAAATAAAATTAAATTTTTGAATGTAGCCTCTTTGTGGAAATTGCATAAATGTTAAAAAATAAAACAGAATAGATATTCTCTTATTTACATGAGTGAGACAATATAATTAAGTTTCTGGTAACTTAGCTGACACCGGACTGCGGGTCAAGAAAAATCAGCATAAACAGGTTTAGAAAAGAAAGCACAGATATGTGATATAATTCCCTGAGTCCCGAGCTAAGAATAAAATCCATAACGGTTGGATATTTGCTCAAGGATTTACTACTAGAGATCCAGAACCAAACTTGTGCAATAATAAGGCCAATTTAATGAGGAGAAAAATCATCCAAAATAAATATGTTGACCACAGTATTCTAATGGGCTCTCCCTGGGCACCTGTGCTTTTTGCCTGGTGTGATGGCTACCCTCCCTGAGACCCAGTTGTCACCATATCTTCTTCTACACAATCCAGCATTTTGGATGGATGGACATGATCATGAGTTTGAGGCTGTATGTGCCAATGATCTAGCTGGCTGGACCTCCTGGGGAAGCAAACTTCCCTGCTAACCCTCAACTCTCTGCTTCATTTTTCCAGGGGGTAACATTTCAAGGTCATGTTCCTAATCTAGAGAACTTGGGCTCCTGTAAAGTCTATGAAGGATTCTGGAGTCCATGACCCCTGAATCATTTGCACAATTTCATGAGTTTGTTCTTTTTTTCCCTTGAGATAAGGACCATAATGTTTATCAGATTTTTAGAGATCTATAATACCCCCAAAAGATGAAGAACCATCAATCACACCAAAAGGGCCTTCTCAGTATGGCTGGATAGCTCAGCTTTCCCCTCCTCCATTCCATCCAGTATCAAAAAAAACATCAGTGTGTGCTAAAGTGCCATGTCTTGTAAACAAGAGGTGCTTACCAACTAGTTGTGATCTCAATTTTGTTTCAAAAGTCTTTCTCCAAGAACTGCTTTTCCAGTTTTTTAATTTGTTGTATTAATACATTTTCACATTTTTCTAATCAGCTTTCCTCAGTGAGCTAGTTTTGCATCACATGGCCTCATATTTCTTTTTCTTATGCTGTATTTAGACCAAATTATTTTAAAATGTGGTCCCCAATTTCCTCCTCTTGACAGTACCAAGTTCATACAGTAACCCCTCATTACCCTTCATTCTTCAATGTCTTTGAACAAAAAAAATATTTCTCATCTTTATGAAACAATCATGTTTGCAATGAATCGGGAAAGTGCAGAACTGACAAAATATTAGATTTAATAAGATAATAGCTACATTGACTTCCCAATGGTCACACAGTTAGCAAATATTCCACTAGACCCAATCTATCACACTAGACCATATCGATTTCTATCTCTGCCTCTTCCCACTACCCCTCATTCATACTGCCTTTAAAACTGAGATCTGAGGCTGCAGAATTTCAATTCCCTGCAGGTTGGTGAAGTCACCTTGAGCTACGGACTGAGTGTCATGTCACCATCTGATACTCAGGCATTAAGCAGTGACTTATTAGAAGTAAGCAATATATTCCAGAAAGGCCTGTCCATGGCAGCTGAGGTGCCCTCGTTACTGTAAATAGCCTTCCTGATGCCCTGTCAGCAGACTTATCCTGGGGCCTCCACTGGGTTAGCTGTTAGTCTCCTAGGCCCCCAGAAGTGAATCTGTCTCATCTGAATAGTCTTATCCGGTTTGTTCTTCATCTGCCCCTTCATGATCGATTATCCTTAAACTACCCATAACTACAACATCCACACACTGCATTCTCCTCCTCCTCCTCCTCCTTCTCCTTTTCCTCTTCCTCTTCCTCCTCCTCCTCCTTTTTCCAACCCTGAGTGTAGCTTGGAATATGAGTTCGATTAGTCGCTAAGTTTTTCTGTTAGTCTCTGGAGGCTCAGGTTTGATGATGCTTGCTCTTCAGTTGAGACTGGAGTTGCCAAGGGAACAGGCCTATAGGCTTCCTTCCTACAGGAAGTGGACCTGGCATGGCACGGAGGCTCCTTTCAGAACTAATCTAGGCTCCTAGTATTTGGCTTCCCTTCCTTCCTTCCTTCCTTCCTTCATTCATTCCTTCCTTCCTTCCTTCCTTCCTTCCTTCCTTCCTCTTTATTTTTGTTCTGTTGAAATTGATTTTGTTGGCCTCACTTCCAAATCATCTTGCTTCCCATTGCCAATGACAGTGACGTTGACGTTCAAAACCACAACTGATTTTGGACGAAAATATTTTCACTTTCAAGAACTTTACAAAGAAATGTGCAGTGTCTCTCAGGTAAGATATGATGGATACAGTCTTAAGAGGTGTTCCTTAAGAGGAATGAAGGCTTTACCCACAGGCTGGCAGTGAGTTTCCCTCCAGATAACTGAAGGAAGCCAGATTTCCTGGCCCAGCTATCTCCCTGACAACCAGACGTCTTGCCACCCCTCAGAGGCCCTTAAGTTCTTCCAGTAGGAATTTTTCCTCTTATTGAGGACATGGCAGCTCACATCCAGCTATGTGAACGCAGGCAATTCTCTTAACTTCTGGATCTCAATTTTTTTTTTTTAATGATAGGATAGAATAGATCACCTCCAAGATTCATGTCAGCTCTGAAAATCTGTGACCACATATGCTCTCAGTCATTAACACCCATACATAGATTTAGTAGGTATTCTTTTAGTGTTTTCACACAAAACAAGTCAATGTAAGAAATGATAAAGGAAGAAACATTCCAGGGTCTACCCAGATGGGGTCTGAGAGAAAAATCACTGGAAACTTGGGAAGGCCAGGAAGGGACTTAAGAGTAAGCGGGTTGGGAAAGTGGAGGCGAATGGATGGTTACTAAAAACAAACTTACACTTAAAATTTTGTCCAGGGGAATTCAAGACTCCTTTGCTATTTTGTGGCAAGTAAAAAGAACAGAAGGGCTTGAGATCTAAAACCTGATGAGTCAATCCGTGAAAATGTATATAATGCCTGAACCGTACAAACGCTGTTGGAGATTTAAGAAAAACATAGAACCTGGTGCCCATTCTCAAGACTTATTAACAATGCTGGGGGGCGGGGAACTATCCATACACTTCAAGCAGGTATGACAAAGGTCCACAGTTCCTCATGAGTCACCTTTGAGTGTTGCAGGCTTTCAGGAAAGAGTTAATGGGAAGAAGCCAACCATTTCTTTGGTGGGTACTCTACGTGGTTATCTCTTTAAATCACTGTAACTGCAGGTGTGCATACAGGGAGCTTTGACACTAGAAAGCCCATCTGGATTGGAAAGACTGGTCATTCCTGTATCTATTTGAATCAGGCTATTTATTATTATTAGGGGGAACGTTTGTGCTATGTTTTCTTCAGTTGTATTGTATTGTTCACAGACCATTTATTTCTTGACAGTTGTATTCAATGAATAGGAGAAACTCTTTGCAGTAAAGAAAAATCAGGAGGGTCAGAGAAATGACTAGAATGCAATCTTATTTATGAAACATAATGAGGTTGAGTTAGGAACAAATCTGGAAAATCGCTGCTCATTTCAGAGGTCCACTAGGATAAGGAAGGTTGCTAGCAGCAGCTTCTCAAACATCTTCCATATCCAGTGGCTTTGGCTAAAGGACTTTCATCATCTCTCTTCTAGATCAAGATGACTGAAAAGGACCCAGAGCCACAGCTGGATGATGGTGACGATGAGCTAGACAGCAAGCTCAATTATAAGCCTCCACCTCAGAAATCCCTGAAGGAGCTTCAGGAGATGGATAAAGATGATGAAAGTCTAACTAAGTACAAGAAAACGCTGCTGGGAGACGGTCCTGTGATAGCAGGTGTGTGTGCACAGGGAGGGGGCAGGTGGATGGCCCCAGGTGGGACATGCACTGCAGCCACTCCAGAGCAGAGGCAAAGGAAAGAGGACCCACTGCAGGGTTAGGTGGGTGAGGCACAATTTATACATGCTCAATAAAGCTATAGACTGTAGAATTAAGTCTTCACAGGAGATAGGATGTAAATCAGCAATGAGATCAGTAAAAATCACACATAGAGAGGATTTAGAAAAGGTTCCAGACTCCCCCTTAGAATTGCATTCCCCTCTCTCCATTATCTCTCACATTTTCTCTTTTTCCCTTGCTCAGTCCTTTTCTGACCATTCATCTCTTCCACATACACAATGGCAGGATTTGACAGGGCCCAAAGACATGAACATGCTGTGCCCAATGGGCAGAACAGCTGACCTACAGCCACTCGTGAAATACATGATGTTGTTCTTTAAGATGAGCCTGCAATGCCTGGAGTGGAGCTAGCATCACTGCAATTTATAAGGCCATTGAGACCAAGCATGGTGAATCTGTCACTTCTACTCCTCCAGATAGAGAACCATTTTTTTCTTTATTTTTGGTCTCTTCTGTTTGAAATGCACACACACTATACACATATATCTTCTCTGTGCTTATTTTTTTTTTTTTTTATCTTGCAGACCCAACAGTCCCCAATGTCACTGTTACCCGACTTACCCTGGTTTGTGACAGTGCACCAGGACCGATCACTATGGATCTTACCGGTAAGTGGACACGTATATCTGTACTGTTCAGAAGGACCTAAAATATCACAGGGAAAA